CGGGAGTTCGGTTACGTGTGAGAAAGGTTATAGCACCCTCACAACGTCCATCAAAAGATGGTACCAGCTTAAATTTGTGTTATCCAATTAGCCTTAAAATTTTACCAAGTAATCAGTTGTTGGAAATTATTCTCAATTGACCCTAATACTTTTAGCAAAAAATTAAAAAAATTCCCTCAACTCAAGAGTATACAAGAAAAACTACTGTTTCACTTGTAGAGGCTCTATCGTCAAATTAATTAAGGAAAAATCAAAATCAAAATCAAAATAGAAAGGAAGGAAATGATGATTGTTCTTGTGTAGGGAAAATTGATACTTTCAACTTTTTTCTAAAAATATTTTTTTTGAAACTTTGATTTTCAAGGAAAATTGATACTTTCAACTTTTCCTCAAAAATCTTTTTTTTTTGAAAATTTATTTTTAAGGAAAATTGATACTTTCAACTTTTCCCTAAAAATATTTTTCGAAAATTTTGATTTTCAAGGAAAATTGATACTTTCAATTTTTCCCCAAAAATATTTTTTGAAAATTTATTTTTAAGGAAAATTGATACTTTCAACTTTTCCCCAAAAATATTTTTTTGGAAATTTATTTTTTAAGGAAAATCGATACTTTCAACTTTTCCTCAAAAATATTTTTTTTGAAACTTTGATTTTTAAGGAAAATTGATACTTTCAACTTTTCCCTAAAAATACTTTTCAAAAATTTTGATTTTCAAGGAAAATTGATACTTTCAACTTTTCCCCAAAAATATTTTTTTAATTTTTATTTAAAGAAAATAGAACAAAATAAAAGTGAAAATAAATAAAAATAAAGAAAGTAAAACAAAAATAAAAATAAGATAAAGATAAAAAATATTAAATAAATATAATCTAATAAATAAATAAATAAAACAAATAAATAAAAAAATTTCCAAAAAAAAACCTGGAGCGGCTCGGCTATTGGCTCGGCTCAAGGAAGAGAAACGGCTCGGGGGGCGGCTTGAGAAGCTCGGCTCAGCTCGGCTCAGCTCGAAGAGGGGCAGGCACGCGCGGGTCAAGAAGCGGGTCGACGCTCGGGTCGGGTCGGATCTCGACAAAACGCGCGGATCCTCTAGGTCACTTAAGGCCAAAACGACGTCATTTTAGGAGGGTATAAAAGGTAGTTCCCTTCATTTTTCGACAGAAACCTTCTCCCCTCTCTCTCTCTTCCTTCCCTTTTCTCTCCCTTCTCTCTAAAAAGTCGAAGAACTCCGGTTGAAGATTCACCAGATTCTGGGATTTGTCGTCGGAATCTGGATTTTTTCGTTGAAAGTTCACCGGAAGTTGGCTGGAAGTTGGTCGGTTTCTGGGAAACGTCGTCGAAAATTGGACAGCTAGTCGGAAACTTCAAAGTTGGCCGAAATTTTCGTCAAAAAATTTAACTTTCGTCGAAAAATTCACCGAAATCTGAAATTTTTCAAAAATTCTCAGAAAAAAAATCGCCAAAAATCTTCAAAAAAATTCCTACTAACTCCAGAACACTTCTTAATCTTTCCTTAGCCTTCTATACTCTTCTATCTCTCAAATCAGTAGCTTTGCTCACTATTTTTTTCTGTCCATTGCTTCTGTTCCAGAGGGTCCCTTTTATAGGGATTGATTAGGAGTTTCTGATCAATCCCAATTTCTCTTTGGACGGGGATTCAATCTTTGAATCCAATATGGACTATTCTGATTGAATCCCCATTCTCAGCAGGATTCTTCAGCTTTTAATCACAGCCCCATAAAAAAAATAATAATAATCAGATAAATGAAAAATCAGATAAACGGGAAAAAGAAAAAAAATTATTAACAGATAATTAAAAATCCGAAAAAAAATACCAAAAAAATATTATAATAATACATAAATTATAATATAATAATAAATATATAACTATATAAATAAAATACATATAAATATTAATAATAAATAAATTAATTAATTAATTAATACATAGTAATAATAAATAAATAAAATACATAAAATACAAAAGAAAGAAAAAATAAAATAAAAATAATTCCAAATAAGAACCAAATTGGGCTTATCCATTTGGGCCAGGTCCAATTGATTTGGTCCTGGATCAAATTGGGTGTCTACACATAGAGCATGTTACTAAAAAATTAATCAACTGAGTTGTTTGTCCAAAAAAAAAAAATTCAAATAAATGTCTGATCAGTAAATGTTTAAACAGAGAAATTATGAAATTTCATTTTATATCCTAGTTAACTGAAAACCGTCTTTCCTTTATGCTGGGCTCATTCTTTTAAAAAAAAAAAAATGGTGTAATGGAAAAAAACAGGGAGAGGCACAACCAAAGTACTCAATGGAGCACACAAGAAAACAAAAGAAACAAAACAAAACAAAAACAATTCCCAAACTATGTCAAGTTGGCTACAAGGATCAAATTAGACCATTTTCCTCTACTTATAACCGTATAACTTGACCAAAAACAAAAAGCATAAGGACTAAATTGACTCCAATAGAAATGAAAGGCTAAAATGACTCATTTTTGCATAGTTCAGGGGTCAAATTTGCTATAATACCTTTTAGAAACTTCAGCGTTAATGTATAAGATAATTATTCTATTTTTTGTTATTTGTGCGCATTTTTTTGTAATGACATTGTTATATTTAAAGATTAGGTATGAAAATTTTGTGTATTTTAAAAGATAATAGTTCTTCAATCTCTTTTCTACATGCCTTTTTACTTTTACCAATATTTAAAAAAACTTCAATCTTATTTTATATTAAAATTTTAATTTTTGAAAAATTTATGTTTCATCATTTCTAATGTAAAAAGTAAAAAATAAGCTTGAAATTTAATATGAATATAAAAACATAAAAAGTATTGGGTAATTGAAAAATACTATAGGCAAAAGGATAAAAAAAAATTTTGAAAAAAAAATAATAATAATTTAAGTCTTTACTGCTGATATTTTATTATAATCAATCAAGTATTAAATTTTTTATTCCAAATAAATGTTGGTGGTTAACCAATTTTTATTGAATACAGCTTAATTGATGAAAATAGATATTTGATGGCTAAATTGATTATAATAAAAAATATAAAATTAAATGATTATTAAATTTTTATACAATAAATTTTTTTGATACTTTAGCCTAAAATATATTAGGTGTTTCAAACATTAAGGGATTAAAAACAAAAAGAGATGACAGAAGGTTAAAGGGTAAAAAATGTTTTTAAATTATAATTCAATAATTATTTATGTCTTTAATATTTTATTACAATTAATTAAGCTTTTAATTTTTTATTTCGATTTAATTGAAAACTTAAATAAATGAAATCTAATCATGTAATAAAATTTAATCAATCAATCTTAGAATTATAATTAATTAAATTCTTATATGGATTTTCGAGAGAGAGGAGAAAAGAAAATAAAAAAGACAAAAAGATAAAAAAAATTATTTTATTTAATTTTTAAATATATTAATTTTGTCACGTGATAAATTTTATTTATTTATTAATATCACATAAAATTTTATTTTAATTGTTAAAAAATTAACAGTTTTAATTTTTTTATTTAAATAAAAATTTAATTAGATGTAAATAAATTAAAAAATTAATTAATTATAATAAAAATAAAATTTAAATAATTTTTTAATTATAATTTAAGAACTTTTTATTCTCTTTAACCATCAAAAGAAGCATAATAAACTTTTGAACCCACCAAAAATATTTTCTGGACATTGTTATTTCTTTTCTACACCGATGTGTGGCTCATGTTAGTTCTTGTAACCACACTTTAGAGAAGAGTCAGACCACCAAGGAAAAGAGGATCACACATTTTATTATCTAAAAGTTTAAATATTTATGGAAAATTATTTAAAAGTTTTAGATTTCACTATTAGAATTATAAAATTGTCATATATGCTTTTAAAATTATTAAAAAATACACATGAAAAATTTTTATCACAACTTTTGGAGTTTAAAAACTCTCTCCATAATGAATAAAAAATAAACTCATATTTGATTTATACTTCTTTAAAATTGCTAATTTTTTTTATCTTATATCCAAAACATCTTTTACTTGTTATAAAAATTTTATATATTTATAAAAAATAAGTGGTTTTTTTTTTTTTTTTTTCGTGAGGTGGGAACATAATTGTTACAACTAACAAAGCAGAAATATAATTTTAGTAATTCATTTGCTTTATAATTAGCAATTGCAGCAATCAAGATGGCTATGAGAGAAAATTGAAACAAAAGAGAATTGATTAAAACTTAGGGGCAATAGCCTCGCAACCCAATATCTCCAACAAGAGAAAAAAGAAATTTCCTTTTTAATTTTTGTTTGCTTTTTAAAACCGAGTGATGAAAGAAACACCGATTCTGATCACTTTTGGATTAGCTGTCACATTAACAAGCATAGGAATAAAATGTTGAGAACGTTAAAGCCGCAAAGGAACCAATATACCAAAAGGAACAACCAGCATCAATAATCCTGATGCCTGCATTTGAATTGCTTGAACTGGAAGTGTTGCTTGAATCACTTGAAATATTGCTAGTTGAAGGACCTACATTCAACCAAAAAAAAAAAAAAAATTTATTGTTTTATCATACGGAATTGAAAATATTTAACTTTATTTCCAATAAGTCTTTGTCTAACAAGGTTTATAGTTAACTTTAATTCAATTCAACATGATCTCCATTTTGTAATAGTTTTGATGATTTAAATATAAGAAAACTAATGAATGAATGAGCATCAAGAGAAATTGTTAATTTAAAAATAAAAATAAAAATTTACCAGGATTTGATGTGCTGGAGGTGGATGGAAGACTTGGTGGTGAGGCACCGGGCGAGGTTGCTTTAAGTAAATAAGAAGAAAACAATAATTAGATACATGAATAAAAAAATGATCATGTATAATTAATTATAGATGATGAGATAAAGATGCACGTATTTGTTGTTGATGACACATATGAAATATGAGAATATAGAGGAAAATTGTCCTATACTCGAAGATAGAGCTTTTAAGCTTTACCAATGTGTTTAGATAATAATTATTTCAAATATATTGATACCTTAATACCTTAAAATTTATTTTCCAAGGGCTTTCCCTTTCCATTTGATATGTGGCATGGCATTTTTTAATTTTATTTAACAATAGTACTAATTTTAAAAATTATAAAATTAGTAAAATAAATAAAAAAATAGAAAACAGAAATGTCAATCATCAATACTTTAATACTTGTCATTTAAAACTATCCCTAAAGTGTTAGAAAAAGCCAAAAAATATGGGTTAGAAAAGGGACAAGATCTGGGATTTTTAGAGAGATTGAAAAGAATAGAAAAAGAAGAAAAGAAGAAAATGATTCGGTTAAAGGAAAAAATATATTAATATATATTAATATCCACAAAAATTCAAAAAAAAAAATTTAAATAAAAAACCTTAATTTCACCGATCACCACAACACACCAAAATAAAACTCTAAAAAAGGTCAATACTTTAAAATAATTACCTTTGATTTATTATTACTATTATTATTTTATGTTATTTTTAATTTCAAATTATTTTTTATTATTAATTTGATTTTTATTATTATTTTTTTATAAATCTTTAAAAGAATTGCCTCAAGTGAAAAATGACAGCATACAACTATTGAATTGTAAATAACTTATGAAATTGATATAAGACACGTGTCAATTATATACTTCCAATTGTAAAATCTAAAAACTTTAATATATATATATATATATATATTTAAAAAGAGGGGATAGTAATCCAAAACTATAAATTAGAAGACTCCAAAAGCTAAAAATTCTATTTGAAAATTTTATGTTTAATTGCTTATTATTTTATAACCAAACATTTATGAAAAATAATAAAAATTTAAATTGGGCTTAAAAATTAATTTAAAATGCCATTACTTTGCATAGATCTATTTTCCTTAATATCAAACTTTTCACCTTGTCAACAACAAAATTAAAAATAAAAAGGAAAAAAGAGTTTAAAGAAAAAGGCTCCAATAGTTTAACTCCAAAATCTAAAACATGGGATTGAAGACAAAAAATAAAAACAAAAAACAAAAAGAATGTGAAACTTATAGTAAATTCTTAATAACATGATAACATAAAACTAACAAAGTCCTCCATAACTAATGGAAAATTCTTTGAAATCTTGATTACACATCATGATTTCCATTTCCCAAGATAATTTATATATTTATTATTTACCAATTAAGATTCCAATATATAGGATAGGCTGGCATCAAAATGCTATAAAAGGCATAAATATTGTTATTTTCAAACAAAATCTAAATAAAATGTAATAACCAATCTAATATTCCGAGGTCATGTTTGGTGTATAGGATAATGAATAGAATAGAATGATAATCATTATATATTATGTTTGGTTTGTATCTAAAAAAGGGATATGATTATAAGGAAGATTCATCACTATCTTGATATAGGATAATTCAATCCATTCAAAATGAAGAAGATTATTTTTAAATACATAGAATTAAACTTACATATACTATTGTACCCTTAAAAATTATATTAATAATTTAAATTATATAAATTTTAAAAAAAAATAATTTTGATCAATAAATCAATTATTTCATTATAATATTTGCACACATTAAATATAAAATAGGATGTTATTATTTAATATAATTATATTTATAATATCATATTATCTTAGTCTATTATAATTTTGTGTACTAAACACATCCTAAATTCGATAACTGTATGTATTTAGAACTAAGATTCATTTCAAAGTTATGGCACAACCCATCTAGAGCATCTATATAAAATTATTACAATAATGTGGAGGAAGATTTTTAACAAAACAATAACAACTTGTGAATTAATGAATTAGCTCTGTTGAAACTTTGAATCCCATGAATGGAGGTAGGAAAGCTCTCTCTTTTTTTTTTTTTTTAATTTAGAAAGGAGGAAATGGAAATCTACTGTTGAAGGAGCAAAGAATTATAAATTAACCAATTGAATCAAATGCTGGGATGACATGTAAGGAAAGTTTAATCATGAAGAAGATTGATGTTGTGCACAATACTTAATGAATAAAGAAATCAATTAGCAAGGAAAATATGTTACGTACCATTCTTGCAAACAGATACATCAACATCAATGCCACATGCCTTAGCGAGTGCCAATGCTCCTTCCATGGTGAGGTTGATGCTCTTCAAGAGTTCCGGATTATCGAAGACCTTGCAGAGGCACCGGCTCTCCTGTGTGACCACATCCTTTAATGGGGCGCAACAGATCGCGGGAGGTGAAGTTGAATGCATGAAGAGCTGGCAAGGCATTAGCTTTTGCATGCATGGCATTGCATCGGCAGAAGCGCCTCCTTGAGAGGCAGCCGCAGAGGCAACCGCAACGCCCTGCTGCTGTACCTGTTGAAGAATACCGGCAAGGCCTTGTTCCAAAGTGTCTAAACTTTTTTCCAGATCCATTTGTTCAGTTTCTTGTGAGAAACCCAGGGGAGTACCCCATGAAAGGAAGAAGAGAAAAATGAAGGTACAAACCAACTTGAAATCCATGGTTTTAATAATTTCAATGAAAAGTTAATGGAACCTTACTCAAAATTAAATTATTGTACGTATTAACTAATGAAGAGAGAAAATAAAGAAGAACAAATAAAGATTTGTTTCCTTTTATTTTCTTTTTCTCTCTAGAGCTAATTTTTTGTGAAAGAATATGAATACATATGCATATAAATTGCTATTTATAGACATGCAGTTCTTAGATTGGAAGCTTGAGTTGCTCCTATTATCTCTGCATTGAAGAAGACCGTTTTTCAATTGGTTACAGATCTTTTCTCTAAAAAAACCTATACTTTGAAAATATTTGTAGTTAATGAAACTCCCCCATCCTATTTTTGAATTTCATTAAATTAAAGCCATAAGTTTTGAAATGAAAATTTGCTTTCTTTTCCGCTATTATTATTCATAATTTTTTTAACCTAATTTTTGTTTTCAATTTCATCAGTTGTTATAACTGGGATGCCTAGGAAAGTGAAGAAAATGTAATCAAACTGAATATTTGGCAAACATTGCAAAAACTTGGAAAAGAATTTAGCACATGATGCACATTCTCAAAAGTAGTTACATAATTTTTCTATTTCTTTTTTTTTTTTTTGAGAAGAAGAGTTGATCAAAGAAGTTCTTTTTTATATCTATACCTAATAATCTAAAACACGACACAATGATAAAATATAAATATAATATAAATAAAAAATATGAAAATAACTTAATTTAAAATTTTAATAATAATTATGTATGAATTTAACAAAACTAAGAAAATGCATCTTATGTTTTTATGTTGACGTAATAACATAATTTTTAAATAAAATATAATATAAATATATAAATTTTAATATTTTATATAAGATAAAAACATAAATTATCAAGTCTATTAATGTCATAATTTCATTTTCAAAATAGAAGTTAATATACATTTCATTTTATTTTCGTTGCTATACTCAATTTTGTCTTAGAGGGTACTCTAAGCTAAATGTAAAAATAATTAAACGACAAATGTTTGAATAATGCCAAATGGCTAAATAACATTAAATTAATTTGATTTGAATTTAATTTACAAAATTAAATTAATATTTTGAATCATGTGGACTCGGTAGTCCACAAAACGAATAACCCTTGAAAATTTTCTTTTTTATTATCAAATTATCTTAAATATAAAATTTTATAAAAATTAATTTATATACACAAAATAAATAGAGGAGAAAAATGAAAAGGCAGAGCTAGGGTGAGGAGACTCCCTCGGGTCTCAGCCACTCTTTTCTCTCTCACTTATTTAATTTCTTCAAAAGTAGTGCCCGTCAGCCCTGATGTTATCGGCGGTGTTGGCTTCTCCCCTCTAACCATATTTTTTAGTGATTATGATGCGACTAAATTTTATTTAAATAATATTAATAAAATATAAATATAATAATATTTTTATAAAAATAATTTTTTTAAAATTTTTTTCTTAACTTTTTCACAAATTTGAAATATTAAAAAGCTAGAGAGTACAAAAGAAACTAAAAATTGTTGAGTTTTTATTTTTTTTATTTAAATTAAAATTTTATTCAAATAAAAGAAGTTTTTTTTTTTTTTTAGTTTCCCTTATTTCTTTTTCTTTTATTCTCTTTTCTTCAATCCAAATAGAGGTGTAATATGTTTGTGTGTATATATATATATATATATAATAAATTTAAATTAGTCATTTCAAAATTAAAATATTGATTTTATTTATTTATTTTTAGTTTTATAATTTAATTTAAATATAAAATATTAATATTAATGTTATTTTGAATAAATTTTAATATGATAAATGTTAAATAAAAGTAAAAAATGTCTTTAATGATTATTTGTTCATTATAATTCATTATCACCATTTTTATAATCAAATAAATTATTAGTGAATAAAAAATAGATTATATAAATCACAAAGTAAATAAATATTTATTATTTTATTTTAAGATATGTAAATAAATTAATTTCTTTAAAAATGAATTATTATTTAGAAATAAAAATAATCATATAAAAGAAATATATAATAAAATATATAATCAATTTATTTATTAAATAAAAAATTACATAAATAAAAAATGGATACATAATTAATATATATAAAACAAAAAATGAGACTCTAAAAAATTAAATAAAAATATTATTTTGTTAAATTTAATATGAATAAATATGTTATTATTAGTTTTTAATAAAATTATTATTTGAAATAAAAATAGTCATAACGTATTAAGTCTGTAAACCTATTGCTATATATAACTTTAAGTGTCACTATCAATCTTTTTTTATTCGGATATGATTGGTCATTTAGATGAATATATTCTTTCAAAAAAATTCTAAGTTTGATTAAAGGTCTTTAAAAGAACATATTATGATCTGCTTTTTAGAACTATGTCTAAGAATTCAGACTATACGCTTCTATATGTTGTATAAGAAAGATTATTGTACCTTTATATGCTCGTCTAAAATGTGGTGCCACTTAATTTTAAATTATCCTAAAGATCTTGATTCTAATGGTCTTCTATTAAAATTTAATATCTACATATTGGATATAATTTCTAAAATTTATCCATCAATCTGATAGAATTTCTAAAAATATTTTTTTACCTTAATAGTATTCAAAATTTTCATTTATCTTCTTGAAGAAGCTTTGTTGATGGAAAAACTTAATCATTTGTATATTTTTTATTTAATTTTACTTTATCGAAAACATAATTAAATCCTCCACCATTTTGGCCAAATTTAAAAATATTTTTTCACTAAAACATTTCTTGAAAAATCATCCGTTTGCCATTACAAAAAATTCATCATCGAAATTTATTCCTTATTTTATAAGTTTTATTTCCAATTTTTTATTGTATTTTAAATATACTTAAACCTTTCACCATTTGGCAAATTTAGAAATATTTTTCTTGGAATCTACGATTTTTAAGACCCTTGCTATTGAACTTTATTCATTATTTATTTCCTAATTTTTAGAATAAAAATGCCAATTATTTTTGAAATCTTATTAAATTCTCTACCATTTGGGTTGAATTTTAGAAAAGATTTTTATTTTAAAATCTCTTAGAAAATCACCATTTATGATTTTCTTAGAATTCCATCACTGGATAATTGCCATATTTTTTCAAATAAATTTATAAGTTATATTTTTAATTTGATTTAGAAATGAATACAATTACTTTTGTTGAAACTTTGTTTCAATTATTTTACCATTCGGATCAAATTGAAAGAAAGCTTCACCTAAATATTTCTTAAAAAATAATCCATATTTAATTTCTAAGAATACCATTATTGGACAATCATTAATTCATTCCCAAAATTTTATAAAGTTTATTTGTACATGTAGACACCCATTTTGCTCGGAGAAAATTGAATTTATCAATTTTACTCTGATCTGAACTCAAATTTCTTATTGGGCCCATTTAGATTTTAGCCCAAATTTATTTTTTTTTGTTTATTTGACTTTAATTTTAGTTTTATTATTATTTTTTCTATTTGATTTTTTTCCTATTTGTTGTCTTTGCTATTTTTCTTCTATGGTTTTATGCCAAAGTCTTTGGTGCATTAAATGCATTATCAGACTCTTTAGTGAAAATTTCAAAGGCTGAATTTTTGTGGAGGAAGTCACTGGTGACCACCATTTTTTCCTCTTCAAGTATCATTTTTTCCTCTTTAAACCCTAGACTTTTCATATTCAAATCCCAGAAAATTTGGGATTTGATCTTCTAGTGGTTTTATAAATAAAGCCACATAGTTGCACAAAAGGGACAGATAAAGAGAAAAAACCCAGAAAAGAGATTTTACAACCAAAAGTTTCTTAAAAAAAAAAAAAAGAGCTCTGCCAAACCAAAATTTTCTCAAAGCCGTAGCCTTCTATGAACTTTTTCCCAAAAAAAAAAACTAATAAAATAAAAAAATAACAAAATAAAACAAAACACAACATCTAATAGTAGGGAACCACAATGCCAAACAAAAAAAAGATTTTAGCAGAAACTTTCAGCCTCGATCTAGATCATTCAAGGTCGTTTTTCACGAAAAAAAAGGCCAGATCGAAATTCAGAAGGCTGAGAAGAATCTTTTGTGATTTTTTTAAAAATTTTTTAGTTACCAATGACAATAACCGATGACTAGGAGGTGGCGGTCGGCATGGCGGTACATCAGCAAAATTTAGAAAGAAGTGGTGGTTGATTGGGATTGTTTCTTTTAGAGAGAAAAGCTATTTCTCTTTAAGAAAGAGAAATAAGAAATAAATGAAATAAAAATTTTTTAGAATTTTATATAGTGAAAAAAAAAAGATGAAACAATGCCTTTTTGCTTTAAGAGGATCCACGTGTCAACCCAACTTGGACCCGAGACCTAGCTTATTGCTGCTTGCCCTAGATCGGTTCAATCGAATCGGATTGAACTACACCAAACAGAACCGGACTAGGTTTGACCGCTACTGAACTAGGTTGGACCGCTACTAAACTAGGCTGGATCATTTCTGAACTAGGATTAGACCACTGCCATTCATTGATGTTGACTTGTCGTCAACCAACGAAAATTGATTTTTTTTCTTTTTTACTATTTATTCCTTTTATTTATTTTTGGTGTTATTTTAGTATTTTTAATTTACAATTTAGGAAATCTTAAAATAAATATAATAATAAATATAAAAATTTGGAATAAAGAATTAATAAAAATAAATAATGAAAAATAAATAAAATATGATAAAATAACAACAAAGTCACAAGTGGTGATCTTATTAAAAATATTCACATAGAAATTTTTTTAAAATATTCTAAAATTGTTAGAAATATTTTAAAAAAATTTTAAGTATAAAAAAACATTATTAATAAAAAATAAAGTCACAAATAGTGATTTTATCAAGAGATTTTCACAAAAAAAAAAATTGACTAAAGGTGTTAGGAATATTTATGAGATTTTTTTAATAAAATAATAAAATGATAAAATAACAATAAAGTCACAAATGGTGATTTTATTGAAAATATTCATACAAAGGAATTTTCTAAAACAT